AGAGAGAGAGAGAGAGAGAGAGAGAGAGAGAGAGAGAGAGAGAGAGAGAGAGAGATTGATGTTATTCTGTGCATTCAGAGCACAGGCAAGGTGGTGCATGCTTGTAATCCCAGTACTTGGGAGGCTGAGGCAGAAAGATCACCACAAGTTCGAGGTCAGCTTGGACTACCTACTGAGACCCTGTTTCAATAAAACAAAACAAAAAGAAAGTACAACTGCTATATTGTTTCTCACATACCAGATTGCCCAACACCTGTATCAGGGAAAAAGATATATCTATAGTTGTGTCTGTCTATCTGTGTGTATACACACACACACACACACACACACACACACATATGAGAGAAAGAGAGTTAGAAAGATGGGGGAGGGATAGGGAACATTGCTTTTGTTATAGAAAATGAAGATCTGGAGGAGAAAAAATACTTGTATTATGGTACTACATTATTTTAATGTAATTCATTGGAATACTTTGAAATCTGTTTTTAATATTTGCTTTTACAAGAGAATACTGTAAGTCTCCATAAATTACACTTACAAATTGTTGGAAAACCTCCTGTGGTAGAATGGTCTACACATCAGAGTCTAAACTTAGACCATGACTCTCCTTGGAATTTAGCCAACTTTTCAGCCTGGAATGACTTATCTTTAGAGATTGTTTTCTTCACTTTTAATTTAATTCCTAAGTGATGAGCTCCATTACAAACAGTCACAAAGAATAGCAAAAACAACAAAAACAACCCAATCCAAACAAAACAAGACAAAAAACCCTCTTGCCCAAAGTCATATGATCAAGGCTGCAGAACTGGAAAATGACTGCAGGCTTTATGCCCTTTATCTGTTCTCCAAAGATAATATGTTTAATACCTCCTTCCCTTCTGCGAGACTCACCCTGCTACATTTTTTTAAGTTTTTAACTTTTAACATTTTGTATTTGTTTCCATGACAAGTGTCCTAGGAACAACTGATGACTCAAAAATATAATGAGACGAATCATTTGATGGGAGAAATCCAACACTAGGCTGAAAAATAAATCTCATTTCAAGGAGGAGGTCTCTCGCTAACAAAGAGAAGGGCTGATGAAATGGAGGGGAGGAGGTGTCAAATCCCTTGTTCCTTACTGAATAACTACTTGGTAATCAGACTTCTAAATAAATATTTGCCCTTGCAAACATTTGGATACTGTGCTTGTGTTGTATTTAAAGGAGGGGTGTGCATGTGTTTGCCTCAAATTGATACTAGGCTTCCCATATAGAAAGACAGAGTAAGTAGCAAAATGGATCATCATAGTAACACTAAAATCAACTAAGTTCAAATCCCAGCTTTGCCATTTATTACCTGTGATTGGAGAAAAGTACTTAATTTTTGTATGTTTCAGTTTCTCAATTATGCATGTATGTATGTATGTATGCATGTACGTATATATTTAGTTTTTGAGACAAGGTCTGCCTATGCTGCCAAATTGGTCTCAAACTCAGGCACTCAAGTGATCTTCCCATCTCAGCCTCTAAAGCTGCTGGGACGACAGGCTTGAGCCACTGTGCCCAGCTCTGTTTCAATTTCCTTATCTGTAAAATGAAGACCTCCACAAAGTTTCTGTGAAAAGTAAATGATCATTTGGATAATAGGTTATTTTGAAGGATTCATTTCCCACTCTTAAGGACAAATTTAAAATAGCAGAAAAAATAGTGGGTTTCTTATATCACTTTGGAGTACTAAAGGCCTAAGTATAATACAAAATCCAGAAACCATATAAAAATAGTTTCTCAGTCAATAGAAAAGATTGTTTTTAATTGTGCATTTAATTGTCAAAAAATGCTATAGAGTATAAGAAAACAGTGTGATTCATTGTTCTATTAAAAGAAGATATAGGTAAATCCTACATAATATTAAATAAAAGAAGACAACCAAAAAGCATATACTATATGATTCCATATAGGCAAAACTAATAGATGATGTTAGAAGTCATGGAAATTATTGTCTTGAGGTGTAGCAAAGGCATGTCATAGTGATGCGGATGTCGGGAGGAGATCCTGGAATACTGGTTAGTATCCTGTTTTGGTTTGTTGGAGGTTGCATGGATCTGTTTCCTTATTGTGGTGGTGAATGCACACATATAAATGTACACTAATACTCATAAAACTGGGCTGGAGGTGTAGTTCAGTGATAGAATATCAAACATAAGTCCCTGGGTTTGATTCCCACTATGCCAAAAACAAACAGAACTCGGTGCAGTGTTGCATGCCTGTAATCCCAGCATTCAGGATGCTGAGGCAGGAGAAGAATCTCCAAGAGTTTGAGGTCAGCCTGAGCTACATAGTGAGTTCAAGGCCAGCCTGAAATACATAGTGAGAATCTGTCTTTAAAAACCAAACCAACCACTGCCTGCCTAAGGTCCCAAGTTCTATCCCCAGTACAAAAACACCCCCCAAAAAACCAAACCAACCAACCAACAAAAACTCATAGAATTGTATATCAAAAATAAAGTTCATTTTTACTACATATAAATTTTTAAATAATAATAGCCAGCTATTTAAATCATAATAATTTGCAGGCACAAAGTAAAGAAATAACTATGATAAGGATGTGGAAAGAGCTCAAGATTTATTGTTAGATGAGAAATCAATATGCACTGCAATGTATACAGTATGCTACAAGTAGTCTGATTAAAATTATATTAATATATAAATATTGTTATGTTGAATATCATGAAATTGCTGGGGGGTTACCTCAAAAATGGCAATTTCATATTTTTTAATATCTCTGTGTATATATATTTGTAAACAAAGATATTATGCACTACAAATGGAAAGATACATGAGAAGCCAGTTACAGTGGTTACCAGTGAAGGAGGCAGGCAGCTGGGAGGATCAGCATTGAGAATTGCTTTTGTATCCTTCATACCTTTTTAATTCATATCCTAAGCATGTACTAACTATTCAAAAATCAACTTTAATGTTTTAAAGAAGAAAGAGGCACTGGTGCAATGTCTTTAAAATTTTAGAGGAACCAACATTGTCAAAATGGCCGCACTTCTAAAATTGTTATACAGATTCAGTGTAATCCCAATCAAAATACCAATGTCGGGGGTGGAGTGGGGGCCGTGGGGGCCGCCCCGCCCAGGTGATGACGCAGAATCCCGGCGCCGCCCGCCCCGCCACCGCCCGACGCCTGGTGGCCTGCGGCCTCTCCGTGCCGTAGTGGCACGGGTCTCGTGGGTACCAGAGGCAGCGATCGCAGAGAACCCGGGGTTAGGGGCCCGACGCTCGAGGAGGACGATACTTCCAAGCCGAAGCTGTCTGCTGACTCCCGCCGCAGACCGAGGTGCGCCCGGCGCGGGGAAGTAGGAGGAGATTTGAAACAAATCTTTATTCATGAAGAGTGACTCCATACAAACCACAATATGTCAAGAAAGAAAAAAAGATCCAATAGAAATTCTTCATTCTGGGCAACTGGTAAAAGTCTGTGCCCCAATGGTTCGATATTCAAAGTTGGCTTTTAGAACGCTAGTGAGAAGATACTCTTGTGATCTGTGTTACACGCCAATGATAGTTGCTGCTGATTTTGTCAGATCTGTAAAAGCCAGGGACAGTGAATTTACCACCAACCAAGGTGATTGCCCATTGATTGTTCAGTTTGCTGCTAATGATGCAAGACTTTTATCTGATGCTGCTTGTATAGTGTGTCCTTATGCGAATGGAATAGACATTAACTGTGGTTGCCCACAGAGGTGGGCAATGGCAGAAGGTTATGGAGCTTGCTTAATAAATAAGCCAGAGCTTGTTCAAGATATGGTGAAACAAGTAAGAAATCAAGTGGAAAACCCCAGATTTTCAATTTCTATTAAGATAAGGATCCATGATGACCTTACAAGAACTGTAGACTTTTGTCGAAAGGCTGAAGCAACAGGAGTTAACTGGATTACAGTCCATGGAAGAACTGTTGAAGAAAGACATCAGCCAGTCCACTATGATGCCATTAAAATAATAAAGGAAAACATGTCTATACCTGTGATTGCTAATGGAGACATCAGAAGCTTAAAAGAAGCAGAAAATATGTGGCAGATTACTAGGACAGATGGTGTGATGGTTGCAAGAGGACTCTTGGCAAACCCAGCCATGTTTGCGGGATATGAGCAAACACCACTGCAATGCGTCCAGGACTGGGTTGACATTGCTCTTGAACTTGGAACTCCTTTTATTAGTTTCCATCAACATTTAATGTACATGATGGAAAAAATAACTTCAAGGCAGGAAAAAAGACTATTTAATGCTCTGTCAAGCACATCAGCAGTTTTAGATTACCTTACAGACCATTATGGCATTTGACTGGACTTTCCAAATTATTTTAATATATATTTTATCTTATACCTACAATAAAATCATAAGGTCACATCTTAGTTTTCACTTTAAATCAGTGGCTCTCAAAGTTTAGTATAAAAATAATCCCTGGGAACATTTTTTGAAAATAAGACCTGACTGCATCCTCAGATTCTGACTCAGTGAATCAGGTGGACCCAGAAAGTTATAGTTTTAAAGAGGAGTCAAGAGCTAGAGGTATAGCTCAGTGATAGAACCCTTGCCTAGCATGCAGAAGGTCCTGGGTTCTATCCCCATCACCACCAAAAACTTAAACTTTTATAAAAAAGCCCAAGTGGTTCAAACATCCTGGTCATCCTAGGTCCAAACATATCAAACTCTGCTCTGGATCTTGGTATAGATTGGAGGGTGGAGGCAGTAAGGGTTTTTTTTGTTGTTGTTTTTGTTTTGTTTTGTTTTTCCTTTCCTAAAGGAATCATGGTTTTAACGCTTTTAAATAAAGCTTATTGTAATAGTAAAAAAAAAAAAATACTAGGCTGGGGATTTAGCTCAGTGGTTTTGCCGCCTGCTGTGCAAGCGCAAGGACCCAAGTTCGATCCCCAGTACCAAAAGAAAAAAAGAAAAAAAAATACCAATGTCATACTTTACAGGTCTAGAGAAAATAATCCTAAAATTCATATGGAGCCAGAAAAGACCCAGAAAAACAAAAGTAATTTTGAGCAATAAGAGCAAAGTAGGAGGCATAGCCAAAACCCAACTTCAAGCTATACTACAAAGCAGTAGTGATAAAAATGGCATGGTACTGGAACAAACAGAGACACATGCATCAGTAGAACAGAATTGAGTATACAGAAACCTCTCCAAACATACTCAACTATTTTAGCTTTGACAAAGGGGACAAAAGCATATATTGCAGGAGAGACAGCCTATTCAACAAGAGGTCTTGTGAAAACTGGTTATCTGCAGAATGAAATGGGACCCTGATCTCTCACCATATACTAGATTAAAATCAAAATGGATCAAAGATCTACAAATTAAACACTAAACTTTCTGGAAAATAAAATAGGTAAAATACTTGAACTTATAGGTGTAGGAAAGGATTTTCTAAACAACCTCAATCGCACCTCAAGAAATAGCAAGAATCAACAAATGGGATCATATCAGACTAAAACGCTTCTGTACAGCAAAAAAAAATAATAATGAGTAGAGTGAAGAGATGACCTACAGAATGGGAAAAAAGTTTTGCCAGCCACTACTGAGATAGAGAACTGATATCGGCAGTATACAAAGAATGAAGAAAAAAAAAATTAAACAACCTAAAATTAAAGATCCAATCAAGAAATGGGCAAGGGAATTGAACAGATCACTTCACAGAGGAAGAAATACAAATGGTCAACAAATAAATGAAGAACTTTTCTACATCTCTGCCCACTAGAGAAATGCAAATTAAAATCATGCTAAGATTCCATCTTACTCTGGAAAGAATGGCAATCTTTAAGAAATCAAACAATAACAAATGCTGGCATGGCTATAGTGAAAAAAGAAGCCTCTTGTATTGGTGGGAATGCAAACTAGTATAGCCATTATGGAAATCAGTATGGAGATTTTTCAAAGAACTGAAATTAGAAATTCCATATGACCCAGCTATCCTCCTGCTAGGTATCTTCCCAAAGAGCTTAAGTCATACTACAGCAATACATGCATACCAATGTTTATAGCAGTACAATTTGTAATAGCTAAAGCCTGGAAACAGCCATTTGCCCACCAAAAGACTATTGGATAAAGAAAATGTGGTATCTATAGTGGAATACTACTTGGCTATAGAGAATGACAAATTTGAGACATTTGTAAGAAAATGGGTGTACCTGGAAAACATAATGTTGAGTGAAATAAACCAGACACACAAGCTTATGATACCTCTCATTTGAAAGAGGCAAAATACAAACAGAGAAAATGGTAAAAGATGGATAGAAAGGGATATAGAGATGACTCTTGCATTAGAGAAGTGTTCCAAGGGAACAAGGGTGAGGGGTGAGGAGCAGGGGAAGAGGAAATAAGAACAATATATGTATGCCATGTACTTGGAACCTAATAACTGCAATTAATGTAAGCATTACACCCTATAACATGAGCTAAGACAATATCAACAAGTATGAAAAAGGGGATAGGGGAATTGGAGGGGGAGGGGGGAAGGAAGAAGGGGATTAAAAAGAAAGAAACAAGCTATAACATGTAACCACTCCCAAGATTATTGTAAGCCGCATGAATTGCAAACATACTAATAAAAAAAATTAGAATTTTAGAGAAAAATTATTTTTAGCTTCAATTTTTTTTTTTTTCATTTTGTAAGACAGGATCTTGCTATGTAGTCAGCCTGGCCTTGAACTCACTATGCAGGCCAGACTGGCCTAAAACTCACAGCAATTCTCCTCCCTTAGCCTCCCGAGTGCTGGGATTACAGACATACATTACCACACACTCAGTTTAGCCTCAGTTCATTTTGATCCAAGTCATCAATCAAGGGTTTATGTGTCCGTAAGTGCTTAGGATCCATTGAAGAATACATGCCAAACTAAGATAGATCAACTCTGAAGATTATAACGAACCAAAGCAAAAAAGAGGGAAAACTTTTATTTTTTACTTTATGTGCCTCTGTATGTTTTGAAAATTTATAGTGAGAATAAAATACTTTTATACAGCCAACAAAAAGCTGAGCTCCAAAGATAGGCACTGTCCCCTTCCTGCCTCAATCTCAGAAAAGGAACCAAATTAGGAATTTCAGAATGTTAACAGGATCTGCAAAAGAAAGCAGATTCTTCCACACCGTATAGAAAAAATCTAGAGTTTCTAGAGTCTAAAATTTCTATGATTCTGTAATTTCTATAATTCACACTGTATCGTGCTCAGTAAATTTTTCACCCTAAATTTTTCTGAACTCATGCAACACTTCGCACTGCCCTCTTGGATTGCTGTCTTAATCCTCCTGGCCGACTTTAGCCTTTTCTACCTGTCCAAGGACTTTGGTCTCTCTGCCTTTGCTTTCCTGAAGCAGAGCTTTCCCTGCCCCATCTCTCCAATCCTGCTTTTCTACCTACACCTATCACTTAACCTCAACCTAACACGCAGACAAGGCAATCATCACAAGGAAGTTGCCAGGAAGATTTTGCACTTAGCAAACAAAAGATCCCTTGGACTGTATTATTAGGAGGAGAGAAGCATATTGTAAACAATTCTTTTTCTATTATCAGTTTTTAAAGGGTCACATTTATAATTCAAGAAAATTTAAACTGAAAAATACTCGTGAACTGAACTTTTCCTAACCATGGACGTTTGTTTTCAACAATAAGCTAAAGATTTTTATCTTTAAAAGGGTTTCTCAGTGCTAGGTTCCTATATGAATAAGGGAGGAAAACTTAGGGAATTGAGACATTATTTAAAAAATCAGGTTTGGCTTTTCAACCCAGGAAGGAAGGAAAGGACAAGTTTGGGGAGTTTGGGTTGGTCATGGCTCCACCGTACAGACCTTCAGGGAAGGAGAATGTGTGCCCTCCTTTTATCAGGGTCCACTCCTTCTCACAGCTACCCTTGATGGTTGCCATGGCAGCCAGGAGAAGAGCGTGAGGTCACCCTCTCTTCACACTGGGCAAATAGTAGGGTCCTGTGCCTCAGCCAGAATCTCAACCTGCCCTACCCCCATGCCAAACTGCCTCTTCAGCATTCCTTCCTCTGGAGCGTATTCTCATCCAGATTGCTACCCACCTACCAGTTTGGCAGCTTCCCAGGAGGACACACCCAAAGACTGGCAGTTCCATATTCCACCTGCGGAGAAATTGAGAGGCACCTGGAGTAATGACCATCTTTACTTGTAGAACATCTTAGCTTCCACATTGTCTGCACTTCAAACATGGTACAGTTCTCACATCCTGTTGATCCTGGGGCATTATCAGGGTCATGGATTTTAATCTACATTTGCAAACACTTGTGTAAGATTCTAAATAAATACATTTTATTTATTTAGACTTCCAGGCTTATATTTTATTACAGAATTAGCTTGTGAAAATTTTACTCAGCAAACTGCCATCTCTAATGAGTCCAAAAGTGTATGATTCCAGAATTCTATTATTTCTCCATTCAGAGTGCACTGACCTGCTACTGGCTTCAACAGTCTCTGCAAGAAGAAAAGATAGTCTCTCTTGTATCTTTTTCTATCACACATGAAAGAATTGCCTGTCCTTCCAAGGCCAAGGGACAGACGTCACAACTCAGCAGCGTTGTCTGATTGTGAAAATACTGACACTTGAGAGGAGGCCCCAGCCACAAACTGTGATGACTCAGCAGCTGCCTCAACCCATGCAGGTTACGAGCACAGCCAAAAGAAATTGTCCTTAACTTGTTCGTGGACAAAGATGTTTCTGTTCTGGAGCAACTCCTCTCAGCTTCATCCCAATTAGATGACAGCACTGAGTGATTTGTGATTTATTGACAACAACCAGAAAGAATTGCTCATGGGAGGAGAAACAGGTTATCCTCTGTAACCTGCCTTTTTCTCTCTTCATAAAACTTCCCCACCCCCACCTCCCACACTACAGTGAGGACATCAGCTGTCAAAGCAAACTGTTGTTGAGGTGATGCCAATACAAGAGCTCATGGACAATGCACTGCCATTGTCTCCTGGTCTCCATTAATTTCCCTAGGGCATCTGAACTTCAAAATAGAATTTGTCTATTTTGCAAATGTTCTCCCTTCTTCTCCCCCTCATTTTCTACTACCTCCATACACAGGTAGGAAAAACATAACGTAAAGGAGGTTTAGGGAAATTGTTACATAGGTGTTGGAAAAATCAAAGCCAAGTGGGATGATGAACTAACCTGGAGACTGGCAAGAGCAGAGAGTTGCTACCATGGGGGGCGGGGGGGAGAACAATAGCAGCAGTAGCTGCTGCTGCCGCCACCAGATCCCAGGAACAGGATGGGAACCACAATGGTGGGGCTGTTACGATACAGACACTGCCTCTCCCACTCTTGACCTTCTACCAGTGCTTCCCACCGGCAGCCCCCAGTTGCAAGGGGGCCTGAAAATGAACTTGTGGATTCAGTGCCTTGCAATATTAAGAATGGAGGAAAAAAAAAAAGAATGGAGAGTAGAACTGAGAGCAAACTGGAAATGACCAGCACACTATGAAATACCATATCTGCAACAAAAAAGAATCAAAGTCCTATACCAGGTGACTCTGTACTCTATTTACCTGTCTACCCAATGTAGTGCAAAATTCATGGGGGCAGGGGCTGGGGATATAGCTCAGTGGTAGCATGCTTGCCTAGCTTGTGTGAGGCCCTGGGTTTGATCCCCAGTGCAAAATTAAACAAAAAACAACAACCAAAAACTCACAGAACAAAGAGCCAGTCACCAATGTGAGATGATCACCTAAGGGGCTTGGAAAATATACCTTGGACGACAAAGACTTACCCAGCATATGATTGAACTTTCTGTCATTAAATGGAGACAATACGATCTTATATGACCAAATTATTTCATACTTACATTGTGAAGATAAATTTGAAAAAAATATATTCTTCATAGATAAGTTCTCAGTGTAGAGATTCAAGTAGGGAAAGGCTGATTCCATCAACACCATAGTACAGGTGGTTCTGAGGGAGTGGAGCAGACTGCTGTCCAAGAGACCTCCTAGGTGGCATTTAATTAACTTTCTGAATTTATCAAAGCTATCATTCTTGCAGGCTCAGAAACTGTTGGCTCAACACACCAAAAGTAGACATCTCTCAGAAACAAGTGTATAAGGCTGGGTATGGTGGCATAAGCCTGTAACCCTAGAACTCTGGGAGACTGAGGCAGGAGGATCATGAGTTCAAGCTCAGACTGGGTAAATTAGTGACTGAGCAAGACCCTGTCTCAAAATAAAAAATAAAAATGGGCTGGGAATGTAGCTCAGTGTGAGGCCCTGGGTTCAGTGCTCAGTACCATTAAAAAAAAAAGCATGTACAAATTAGTATCTCAAGGTTAAAAAAAAAAAAAAAAAGTAAAATCCATTAACTACAAGTGCTGTTAGATATATGGGTCATTATACCCTTGTTAATTTATTCAAGAATGTTCATTAATTGCCTATTATATGCTGGGCCATGAAACAGACCTAAGACCCAACCAGTGATAATCCATGTCCTCCCAGGGAAATGATACACAAGTCTCTTTCTGTTGGCTTTGTTAAGCTGAGAGTATGTGACTTGTGGGGTGCTGGGGGGATTCAAGGTACTGTAAAGCCTGTGAGCAGTAAGAGAATGAGACTAACATGCTAAGAAAAACAAAGATAAACTGTCAGGGACAGGATGGAAAGAGTCCTATTGACACTGAGTCTATGATTCCAGTCTGTGAGGGCCTGGATTCTGTAGGTATTCTTCCCATCTTCTGAATTAGTCTAGGACTATTCCCAGTTATCTGAAATGATGAATTCTTTTTCTGCCTAAGCTTGTTTTAGTCAGGTTTCTGTTTCTTGTAGACAGATGGAGTCCTGACCTATACACCTGGAGTGCAACCTGCCTGGACCAGGACAAATGTGAAGTTATTTAGAGCAGCTCATACTCACAAACCTCAGGATTCATGAATCTTTACAGGGAAGATGAAAGAGATAACTAGGTAGGAAGATTTTTCAAGGCCCATGGCTGTAAAATCTGAGAAGAGGAACTAAAGAGAGGCATTTCACTCCATAGCTTGACAAAATCAACCAGCCTGTTTCTGTGAGATTCTGCCCACAACTAGTTTTCCCATGTCCTCTGCTGCAGCCCAGCCTCCTGCTCCAGGCCCAGTGAGTCTAATAAACAAAGTATTTGACTAGCTCTTGCTCCACAACTAGGTATCAGTGTGGATAATATGACTCCATTCTGGTTATAATGACCCAGTTCTGACAACTGAGCTCTAATCTCAATAGGATCACATCTTAAACAATTCTATGTGTTTCACTTATTTGGCTTCTTTCTTATCTCTATTCTTGAATTCTTATTCTGGTATAGTGCCTAGTACCTCATTCCACCTTTAGGAAGTAAACACTTGTTTCTTCCCTGAGGTCAATGGACAACCTTTGGCCCATCTCTTAGATTTTGCTCATATTAAATTCTTATCTTTCTGCCATGATTATTGCGGTAGTTTCAGGAGACTCAATTAATGACCTTGCACTCTTCTTTAGAGTTTTGAATCAATTAAGAGATAAAGATGGAAGTCAAACAGATGGAGGACAAAGTATCAACTTTATAACTGATAAGAAAAATATGGGAGTATATAGCATATTCCGTGGTTCATGTACTTGCTAATAATTTTTACTCTGGAATTAAACTAGTCATTCAGCTGACGTGACATGTTCCCCAGTCCCTGCCTCAATGACAGTGCTAGGTTTAGGCTAGGCAGCAGGCTGCCAGCATTATGTCCACATCTCTAAGACTTCGTCTTGTGCTTTAGTTGGGTACTCCCAGAATCAGATGCTGAGACAGTGACTCAAAGGGAAGTAGATCACTTAGGAGGCAAAGAAGACCAGTAGGAAAGGAAGTGACATAGTAGAGGAAAGGCAGACAAATAAAGGAGCTAGGGGCAAGCCTATCGCCTTTGGAAAAACAGGAGATCAATTATGATGGGAAACTGGGAACCTGTGTAGGTTAATGCACAGGTATCCCACCCAAGAGATGAGGAGCTCTGGTATTCATATACTGACTTCCATTAATGTTTGGTTGAAGGATAAGGGGTAATAATTCTTGGACACCAAAAGATTGCCACACAGGTGAACAAAGGGGGCTTCAGTGGCCAGAGAACAACCCTTAGGCAGAGGTGTAAGCATCAGAAGTTAGAAGTTGGATTGGTGTGCACTGAGGGAATATGAAGAGAATGCCGTCAGGGTCATCTAGCTTCTGGATTCTATCCTTGATGCACAGAGAAGACTCTGAATGAGAATCTTGTTTAGTTCCTGCTCTTGGGTGATAATAACTTAGATTCATGGCCAACTCATCCTGTAACCCTTCACCTGCCTGCAAGGCCTCCCTACTTGAGAACAGAACAGTGTGGACCTGACATGAGCTAGACCCAAGCCAGACAAGCTGTCCTGGCAGCAGCTATTGGAAGCTTATGGAGGGTGAGATCACAGTCTGTGTTATCTGAAGACTTTCCCCAGGCAAGGAGTAATCTCTTATCAAGGAACCAAGGAGGAAAGCAGAGAAGTGGCAACTTGTAAAGCAAAAAGAAATATGTCTAAAGTAGTAATAATAATAATAATAATAAAACAAATTTTGATCAACTATGCAAGAGGAGAGACCAAATCATCTATTCTCTTTAGAGAAGATGGGACATTACAAAATTATGTCAGATGAAGAAGTAACCAGAGTAGGCAGAAATAAAATATAGGAAAATCTATTATAGCTCATTGAGCACTTAATAAAAATTTATATCCTCATTTTCTTTTTTGTGGGACCAATGGCTGGAGGAGAAAGTTCCAACAGCAGCTTCCCATTCTATCTAGACTCACCATCTGCCAACATTCAAACACCTTTTTCTAGAACTTATTTATTGGATCTTATCTATTGGACTCTTTTAGAGTCTGCCGTCTGATCCTCCATTGGTCTTCACTGCACTGTGAACATCTCTGGAGTGCCCTGCTCATCAGGTCTGTTTATACAGTTGGTATGCGTCTGAACCCTAGAGACAGGGATTAAAGGTACTGCTTAGATGCAATCCCCAGGGATTCTGAATTCCAGGGCAGATGGCAGAGAAAGGATGTTGCCTAACAACTCTAGCAGAAGCATCACCTTCCAGCTCAGGCCTGCTTAGACACCGTGGGTAGTGGTCACTATTGGTACTCTGCCCAGATTCCTTTACGTGAGGGTGAGTTTGTAGCTGCTGTGAGTGCTGTGGCTAATGTTGCCTGTGAACTTCTGTGGCCACTTAGCACAGGTATGTAACTAAAGAGATGAACTTTACATTTTAATTTCTTCCAGTTAATTAAATTTTAAATGGCTATATGTAGCTAGTGGCTACCATACTGGACAGTGCTCCAGAACCTGCTTCCCATGGATCCAAGCAAGGCTAGACTTGGCCTGAGACGACATCCTTGCTCATCTCTTCTTTTTTTCCCCATCCTGTTTTCCCCTCCTCTACAGGATTCTCCTGAGAATATGACCTCAGTAAATCACCTACATTCGAACTCTTATCTGAAGCTCAATGTCTAAGGAACCCACTTGAGACATGATGTTATAATTCTTTAATAGCAAATTACAGAGCTTAGATCCTGAGTCAAAAGCACACACACAAACTCAATGGCACTCAGAATGTTTTAGCAGCAACCTTAAAAGCATCCCATGCTTATCAAGCTTACACAGCAAGGAAATTTATTATCCTGAGGCTGAAGTCCAAGGACAGGACACTCCAGGGTTGGATAATTCAGAGATTCAATGACATTCAAGGACCAGGTCTGCTGCCCACCCCCCACCCCCGCTCTGTCACACTTGCCAGGCTTCACCCCATAGCACTTAAATTCAATAATTTTTTTTTTCAAATAGCAAAGGTCTAGATCTGATTTGGAAGGCTAGCTTCTGCTTCACTGTCACAAGGTGGCTGTTTTCAGGGCCAGGCTTCCCAATGGAGGCAGTATATCTAGAAGAAAAGCTCATCT